GTGATTAGTTGTAGGGGGCTGGCCTTTCCCCCACAAAAACTAGTAATATAAATAGAAATAAAATGGCATTTGCAATGATAAAAAATTCAATACACCAGGATGCTAAAAAAGTGTAAACAAATATACAGAAAGCAAAAACTGACAGAAATGAGAAGAGAAATAATCCCACAATAGTAGTTGGAGACTTCAATACTCATTTATCAACAATTTGCATAACAACGAGGCACAAAATTGATAGTGAATAGAAGATCTGAACATCACTATAACCAGCAGGACTTTACAAAAATCTATATTAAATACAACCCCAACAGAATATATATTACTCTCAAGTGCATATGGAATATTCTCTAGGATAAGTCTATATATGTGAGGTCTTAAATTACTTCTCACTAAGCCTAAAAGGATATAAATAATAAAACATTCTCTGACTACAATGGATGTATTAGAAATCAGTAATAGGGGAAAATCTGGAAAATGCACAAATGTGTGTAACCTAAACAATACACTCTTTAGTCAATGGGTCCATGAAAATATTTTTAATGAGTGAATGAAGACATAAATTGGAAAGCGCATGAGAAGCAGGTAAAGACTGCTTGAAGAAAAAATGTTAACTGTAAATGTTTACTTTAAGAAAGAAGAAACATCTCAGATCAATAACTTCACCTTCCGTCTTTGGACACTAGAAAAAGAAGTGCAAACTCAACCTGAAACAAGCAAGAGAAAAGAAATAATAAAACGTAGAGTGGAAATTAATAGAGAACAGTTAGACCAGAAGAAAAACAGATGAGACTCAACTTACTAGGATCAGAAATGAAAATGGGGTCATTACTACCCAACACACACAAATAAAAAGGATTGCAAAGAAATACCATGAACAAGTACATACTGACAAATTAAATAACTTAAATGAAATAAACATAAATATCAAAACATATTCAAGAAGTACCAGACCATTTATATAAATTACAAGAGATTGAATCAGCCATCAATAAACTACCCACAAAGCAAAATCCAGGACCAGATTGTTTCATAGCTGAATTATAACAAAGAATAAAAACAGAAGAGGAGGAAATGCCCTTCAACTCATTCTATGATAGCAAAACCAGACAAATA